TAATTAGTAGCTTTTGTGTTTGTTCTTAGTAGAAATTTTGAGTTTTCTTGTTTTTTCCTTCTGCTCTAAATTTGGTCGGAGTGATCAACGGAAAGAGTTCCTTGTGTATTTTGTATAAATCTATTTTAAATAACATTGATAATGATGATATTGATGATGATAACAATGATAATAGAAGAAATTATAAAGAGGATAGATTTATTTTAAATAATAATAGTTCTATTTTAAATCAGCAAAAAGCTACTGGTAATTTATTTTTAAGTTAACTTTAATATATTTATAATCTAAATATATATAATTTGAATAATTAGATCTTAGATTAAATATGATAACTGTTGATAGTAATGAAGAAAATTCAGATGATAATTTTTTTGTAGTGAAAAAAGGGGCAACTAAACAAACTGATAAACTAATCTATATAATTAAAATTTTAATATTTAAATATATTAATAATATTTTTTTTCTATTATAAATAGTGACCAAGTTTCTTAATAAAGATATTCAAAATATAGCGAATAATAATTCTACATTAAAGAAAAAACAAAAAGTAAATAAAATAGTTAGTAGATTAATATTTAAATTTTATTTTATCTACATTAAAATTTTTAAATTATGTTTATTTATATAATTTGATATTTACTAGCTACTAAATTAGAAGATATTAGAAATGATGAAGATTTAGAATTTTTATATAGTGGTTTTGAAAGTGCATATAATTTAGCAAACTGCAGTAAATCTACTTTATTAGATGAAAATAATGATAGACCAAGCAAGCGAACTAGAAATCAAAAAAAAAATATAGATAATTTTTCAAAATAATTATATATTTTGTTAATAAATAAATACAATTTAGAGATTTTTAGGTTAATGATAAAAGATTTTATATTTTTATACAATAAAAATTATGAAAAATAAATTTTTTAGAAAATCAATTTTATACCTATAAAAAAATACAAATTTAAAGTCAATTTCTTCATTTTAATATATATAACAGTATAAAACTAGAGTCTGGAACTAGTTTTATTTTTATATTTAACATACTAAAATAAAATTGTTTTAATACGAGAAAGCATAATATGTGCATGATAAATGTATGGATATGCATATAAATCTATTTAGGACAATGTACAAAAACACAAAGTGCATAAGATGTGCACATTATATATACAGATATGCACATAAATTTACACGAAACAATATACAGGAAAATACTTAAAAAAGTATGTAGTTATATGCAACATTGCATGGAATCCACACCTTTTTACATATAACAAACATATTTTTCCGTGTATTATCTCATGTTATATTCTGTATAGTTTTGTATATTTTCGTATTGATAAATTTCTGTATTTAATCATAATATTCTGTGCTGTAGTTTTTCATAGGGATTGCAAGTTTATTACCCAATAAATTGCATTTCATATGATTGTTAATCTTGATAAATTTTATATAAAAAATTTGTTCAAAATATATTTAATAAATTGTAGATAAAAATGATTTAATCTAAAGTTTTGCAAGTACCATACATAGGTACTAGTACCTGTTTAGTATTTGTAGAACCTCCTACTTACTTCTTTCAAAAAATAGAGAGAGTTTTTATTAGAACCAGACAAGGACTTGAGTGCAACAATTCCAGGTTTACGCACTCTTCTATTGGATCTATATTATTTCACTAACAATTATTTCATTGACAGCTCATTTAGCTGACATTACAACAAGTGACAATTTACTAATAATATATATATCTGAAACTAATAAAACCCTAACTCTAACCTTATATGATGTTAGCTAAATAAACTTTCGGTGAAATAATTGTTAGTGAAGTAAATAGTACTGCTTCTATTACCATCAAATTTTTGTATACCATCCAACCAGAACACTGAAAATACAGAACAAAATCTTTCCTTACCAATATTTTCAATATTATTTAGTTTATCAAAAGAAATCCATTCAATTACTTTCTCATACGAATTAGCTCTAAGTTGAAAGTCTTTTAAATAGTTATCAATATTTTTATTTCTACTCATCCATCCTTGAAATGTATTGTCGAAAGCATATATATTATACTAACATTATTCATATTATTTTCATTACAATATTCATATTTTCTATATTTAGAATCACTTCAAATTTTTAAATATTTGGTTATTTTATGCGATTTTTAAGCTATAATACAAATGATCTTCATGCTTACTAACTAAATTAATACGGGTTATTTAATTAACTCCTTATAATCTTAGTTTGCATTCTGTATGTTGATTATTTCTTATTTTAGCTGCAATAATTCATGTGCAAAGTTTTCGATTGAATTTTTTATTTTATGTGATGTGCCACCTTTCCTTTTTAATGAATAAGGAAAAGATTTTCATGAAATAATTTTATAATATATATATCTATCTAAACTATCTAAGCTATCTGAATGCTCAGATCTATCTGCGTATATGCTCCCAAAAATTTTTATCAAATTCAGGTTGTATTTATACTTTCTATTTCATGATAATTAATATGATCTTAGATTTTGTAACTATCTTTTTTTTTAACTAAATAAAAAAAATCATTGTTGAAAATTATTATTTTTTATTTTGTTATTATTGATTTTTTATTTATTATTTTTATTTATTATTTTTTTTATTACTTTTTATTTTATTCATTGCTTGTTATGTTTAAATTATTTCTAGGCTCACTTTGCTTCCTCTATGATCATTTGATTTTTATTATTTAAATTAACCCTATATGTTATTGTAAGTATTTATTATTTATTTTAATTAAAATGATCAAATTCGATAAAGCTTATGGTAATATTATTATATTTATTAATAAAATAAAAAAAAGCAGCAGATATCTTACAAATTATATGTATATATATTTTGGTTAAAAATTTGTACTCAGTTGTGTTATCATAATATTTTCTCAATAAGTTTACTTAAAGGTTACCAGTTATATTGAGTTGTAGTACGAATTCTTATAAATATATAAAAGAAATATTTATAGCAAAGTTTGAATTTCATGATCATTAAGTAGAATAGTGCAATAAGTAGCACAGATTTTGATATAAATAGTAAAAAAAATACAATATTAAAAATTATGCTAGTTTTGATGATTAAGTAGCTAGCAGTTAATAAAATTTTTTAAACAATTAATTACTTTTATCAATTTGATTAGCATTAAGCAAAATCTTATTTTATATTATAATGCATATAATAAAAAAGACTATTATTAAGCTTATTCTTAATTGATAAAAAAAAGTAAATCTTGCCTAATATATAATGCTTGCTTCCTAAAATCGAACTATTTTATTTTAATTGAAAAGTATTGCACACATATGATATGTTATCATTAGATGCATCTAGTTAACAGTACTAGATATTAACTTTATTGAATAATTTTTATTGAATATATCAGTGTAACTAATGCATAAGCTAAGACAGGATATGCTCCTAGGTGCGAATATTATTTCTTGCATAGTAGAGTTTGTTGTCTATATTATGCTTACTCTTGTTAATAATTTTATTGAATTCTAAATTAAGCAGTTAATTAAATTATATTATATTTATCTGATTTTATATGTTTTCATCTAATAAAGCTATCTGCTTACTTAGCTAATACTACTAGCTGCCTCTCAGGATCTAACTAGTTTGGCTTTAAGACACCTTAGCTTAGCTATTTTTTTAGTTAACTTTATGTCAACTTGAATTACAATTGTCACTAATTAGGTAGTGTTTACTAATTATTTATGATAATTACTTGAACTTAATTTTTTATATAATTTGAGCTTTTTTTAGACTTATAGCTTAACTTTATATAGTACTATAATATCTTTCATTTGATTACTGTATTAATAGATTCCTTTAGCTACTGATTTCAATTCTTTTTATATTATAAAAGTACCATTTATTTATTTTTATTTTAGTTAGTTTGTTGTATTATGCTATAAATATATTTTTCATTTATTTTGTATAGTAAACTGATGATATTACAGTATTAAAGATAGCATATATGAACTTTAGACTATGTATTATTTTAAGAATCAGTATGAAATAGACTAAATGACTATTATGAAGATACACGATTGAGCTTGTTTACTATCTAAAAAAAAATACATTACTTTAAATAATACTGGTATTATATAAAATATATTCAGTACTAAAAAAAGTATATATATGTATATGATATTTGCTTGATATTATAAGTTTCTTTATTCTTCTAATATATCTTCGCATACTATATTAATCATTATTATAGTTACTAAAGAGAATTCTAATTTGCTCACACAAGGGTTTGCTAAATATCAACCTACTGAAAATGAATTTAAAATTGTTTGCTAGAAATACTTTTATTCTTTTGATAAACCTTATACTGAATTTTCAGTAGAAGATATTGTATTATTTGCTGGTAAATTTATAGTTGAAAACCTAGAACAGTATGTTATAGTTTTTTATGTCAACCTCATTGATACAGATGTAAATAGCCAAGAATCTGAAGCTAATAAGATCCCACTTAGCATTTCTCATTATATATATCTTCTTCTGGTTAATTGTGAGCCAAAAAAACATAAAGAATTAACATATTTTGATACTGAATATTATCAGTATAATTTGCATACAAATTCTAAGAATATGCTTATAAAAATGAGAGTATTTTATCCTACTAATACTCCTTGATTCTCTTATATACGTGCTAACAATAGCATTAAAACAGGCAGAATATTTCTTATATTTAGCTTTATAATTTGTATAACATTTGATTTTACAATAATTGAGGCTACTGATATCAATTTTATTACCACTAATATTAAAGCAAATCAAAATATACAAGGAAGCTCTTACTTGGTTATTTCTGACCATCGTTCTAACATTGACCTAATCACTGATGATGTTGAATTTTCTGCTTCTCGATTACTAAAAAGACTTTGCAGACTAATATCAAAATCCTCTAAACAAAATACTACCTCGACCCTTATTAATAGGTAAATATTTATAAACATGTATTGTAGATTTTAAATATATAAATTAATAAATAATCTTAATACTCACTAACTAAATTAACCCAAATAAAAAAATTATTTAATGAGTAAATTTTATAAACATAAATTGCAAATTTTAAATATATAGATTAATAAATGATCTTTATACTCACTAACTAAATTAACTCAAATAAAAAGATTATTTAATGAGTAAATATTTATAAAATAAATTGCAGATTTTAAATATATAGTTTAATAAATAATCTTTATACTCACTCGCTAGAATAAAAAGATTATTTAATGAGTAAATATTTATAAACATGAATTGCAGATTTTAAATACATAGATTAATAAAT